TCACGGTCTCTCCTGCCCGGGCTGGCTTTGAACCGCGATCCTCAGATCTCAGCCTCCTGAGTAGCTAGGATTACAGGCGTGAGCCACCAGCGCCCGGTGAAAAGGAGCATTTTTAAAGTTTGGACCAAGGAAGGGATGATTATAACATAATATTAAAAAGCCAAATACTTTCCATAGGACAATAGGAAAAAAATACGTTCAGAGTAAATAAAAAATTGTCCAGGCTTCAGCCATAACAGGCTAGATGATGTAAATATATTTGAAAGACTTCACTTTGCAGGAGAAGTCTGCTCACACACAGTTGCCTTGGGAAGCATTTCCCCATGTTCAGCCATGGTCCATGGGGGTCTAGCTACATGCTAGTGTAGCTGGTGTAGGCTGGTGACAGAGTTTGGCATCATCCACATGGTGCTAGTTTTGCCAATAAGACAAATGTATTTAAAGGGGAATTACAGGGACTTCTATCCACATACCAAAAGAAAGCCTCAGTGGCCAGGCAAGTCTAGTAGGACTGGAATCAGAGGCAGCCCTTGAGAAGATGATTCAGGAAGTTGTGAGAGTGAAACTGAAACTTCAGTGGAGACCACAGTAAGTCAGAAATGCCAGGAACAAGAAACATTTGTTCAAGAAAGCTGCAAGCAGTAAGAAGAGCCTTGGGCTCTTGGGCTTATGGGCTACAAGTAGCAAGGACATAAGGGTTGCTTGCCTAAGCCATCTAGAGCTACCGGGTACAATGTTTGTTATGCTTTGGTCCCATTTCTCCCTTCTGTGACCCCATGACTCCCATTTGGAATGGGGATGTTTGCTCTGTGTCATTGTATTTGGGGATCATATAGATTTTTTTTTATCTAGTGCTTAGTTGTTATAGGACTTCACAGCTAAGTCTACAGCCATACCACCCTGAATGTGCCCGATCTTGTCTGATCTTGGAGGACTTCACAGCTAACACTTTGTCTTGAGTCTCAGAAGAGATTTCCGACTTGAACTTTTTTTCTTTTTTCTTTTCTTTTTTGCCAGTCCTGGGACTCCTATTTGGCCTGGACACTGTCCTTGAGCCTCTTTGTGCTCAAGGCTAACCCTCTACCACTTCAGCCACAGAGCCACTTCTGGCTTTTTCTGAGTAGTTTATTAGCCATAAGAGGCTCATGGACTTTTCTGCTCCGGCTGGCTTCGAACCACTATCCTGAGATCTCAGCCTCCTGAGTAGCAAGGATTACAGACATGGACAACTGGTGCCCAGTTCTGACTTGAACTTTTAAACTAGTCATGCTTGACTGTTAAAACTCTGAAGCATGGGGGCTGGGAAGGTGGCTCAGTGATAGACCGCTTCCCTTGCATGCCTGAGGCCCTGGGTTCGATTCCTCAGCACCACATAAGCAAAAAGAAAAAAGCCGGAGGAGGCGCTATGGCTCAAGTGATAGAGCGCTAGCCTTGAGCTGAAGAGCTGAGGGACAGTGCCCAGGCCCAGAGTTCAGGCCCCACGACCTGACCCAAAAAAACAAAACAAAAACAAAAAAAAACTCTGAGGCATGGGGGCTGGGAAGGTGGCTCAGTGGTAGAGCACTTGCCTTGCATGCATGAGGCCCTGGGTTCAATTCCTCAGCACCACATAAGCAGAAAAAG